AGTGAACAGTCACAGATGACACTGCATCATGACATATACTGTGCCGTCGGCTCATCAGAGGGTATTCATCTTTCTCCAATATTAGTGACATCATTTGTTTGGTGTCACTATTATATACAGGCACTTGAGAGAAGAGAAACCTTCACTTTTTTCTTGTTCTTCAATTTCTTCTTCATTTACAAGTCTAAGCTACTAGGTGCCTAAAGTTGAGTTGAAGTACTGAACGAGCCAGATGCAAATAGGGGAAATTACAGATGCACACCGACAACCAAGATTATTGGCTACTATTCAATTTTAGATTCCATATTGAATGGGTTAAGCATCTCTGCAGAAGTGTATTTGCATACATATACACTTATGCAGTGTGTGTATTTTATGTCAGTTAGGGAGCAAAAGTTCATCTTTTTCCCTGTATTCCTAGAATGGTCATGGTCTGTGCTTTTAGAAAGAGCTAGGTAGTCATTTATGATTATGAATATGCTGCATATTACATTTTACTTAGTATAGTTCAGATTTGTATACAGTATACATCTTGTTTTACTTATACATGTGTGTTGATATAAGTACCAATATATGAATTTATGTTATCCTATTTTCCGTACCTCCACACATCCCTCCCTCCCACCCTCTTTTCCCCTCGTCCTATCCTTCTCCCTGCCTCCCCAATTCACACCCTTTCCACCCTCTCCCCCTCCCTCCTTTCCTCCCTCCTTTCCTCCCTCCCTTCCTCCCTTCCTCCCTTCCTCCCTTCCTCCCTTCTTCCCTTCCTTCCTTCCTTCCTTCCTTCCTTCCTTCCTTCCTTCCTTCCTTCCTTCCTTCCTTCCTCCCTCCCTCCCTCCCTCCCTCCCTCCCTCCCTCCCTCCCTCCCTCCCTCCAAACTGCACTCTGACCGGATCTCTCCTTCAACAGCCAAAAAAGCCAACCCAGCCAAGATCCTCGACACCCACCCGGCACTGCTCAATAGGACATTCAATAGGCTAAAGACGTCGCAGTTGTCATCACTGTCGAGGGAGCTGAATGACCCTGAGATTTTGAAGGTAAGGAGAACTTTGGGGCTTGTTGCTTGTGTTCCGTTTATTTGTATGTTTGTTTATTTTTATTTATTTTTATGTGTTTATTTCATTATTATTATTATTATTATTATTATTATTATTATTATTATTATTATTATTATTATTATTATTATTATTATTATTATTATTATTATTATTATTATTATTATTATTATTGTTATTATTATTGTTATTATTACTATTATTAATTATAATTTTTTATAGGTTTGTGTTTGACTTTCTTCTTTTGTTGATATTGGTCCCTCTCCCTCTCTCCCTCTCCCTCTCCCTCTCCCTCTCCCTCTCCCTCTCCCTCTCCCTCCTCCCTCTCCCTCTCCCCCTCCCCGTCCCCGTCCCTGTAGTATCATGTTGTAGATATTTCACATCTTATTCAGCTGGTATTGATCATTATTCATCTTTTCTTATAACAGAAAGTAACCATTTCGAAGGGCAAAGCCTACAAAGAACTGGCCAAGAGGATAGAGAGAGAGGACAAACTCCGCATCATGCAAGAGAAGTTGGAAGTGCGGCAGCAGCTAATGGTAAGTTTGGCCTCAACAGTTCTCTGGCATTGGGCCTTGTTTATTCAATTTAGGCCCCAAGGGATTTCTTTCTGCTTCTTATGTTTTTTTTGTTTTTTTTCTAGCATTATTTTGTTTTTGGTTTTAATTGGTGACTTTGTGTCTGTCTGTCTTTTTCTCTTTTTTTCTTCTTGTTCATATTCTAAGTTTCTCTCATCATTCTTTTGCTGGGTATATGTCACCTCATGAACCAATTATCCATTTGATTTTGATTTGACTAATTATTTGTTACTTGGAAATCATCTGTTATATATCACTTGTTAATTACATAATCTTTATTGACTAATTATTCATCCTCTTCAGATATTTGCATCTTTGTCTCCATTTACTAATTGTAAAATATCTTTCTCCTTTTGAATGTGACATTATCTCTATATTAATTACCTTCATGTGTCTCATTTGTTTTTCTCATCTCATTTTCCAAATGACGACTTAGTTTCCATCTGGTAATGCCTCTTCATATTACATTTGATAATTATGTAATGATCAAAGCTGATATAACAAATCATTGTGAAGGAACCCTCTTAAAGAGTTCCAGGGATTGTACCTTCACCTGATATTCTTTTTTTTTTTTTTTACTTTGATTTGTGTACTTCATTGAGGACTGATGCTTTGTTTTCGTGTAAGCCATTTTATTTTTAGGATTAAGGAGTGAACAGCTATCATCATTAAAATAACATAATTAGAATGAGTTTTCCAATTGATAATGATTGTATGAACTCACTTCCTTGTTTCTTCATCCAATGAGATGCTATTTATCAATTTCGTGGATGTATGTGTAGGGTATTGATTAATGAAAATTGAGTCTGAAGGTGCCCATCAGGTAGGATTGAAAGGGAGAGAAGATATTCCAACTCTCATCTCAAAAAGAAAAAAATATATATAGAAATAAAGGTTCTGGTATGCTGATATAAATGTGTGACTGAGAAATAAATGAGATTCCAAAGGCAGGGAGAAAATGCCATAGAATAAGAGTTAATACATGTTTGTTTATAATGTCAGTTGTCAGTAACACACTTCAACTATGTTTGGGGAAATGTCATTATATATTTTGCTGTTTTGCAAGCATGTGGTCCAACGTGAAAAAATTTGCTAGAAAGTGTGTATGTGCAGCAGCACTATCTGGCATCCCATATCTTTTGCCAGCCATACCTACTTGGAGCATGAGTAGTTGTATCTGTTGACCATTGAGTAAAACAAAGTAGCAAAATAAATTAAATTGATGATTCTAGAGAAAGTAGTTATGAGAAATTTATATTAATAATAAAAAATAATTGCAGAAGGAATTATTACCATTTTTACTTCATTCATGTACCCTTGAGATTTTTATCTCATTCCATACCAATCTCATAATTGGTAACTGTATTCAACTTTCTCATTACAGAAAAATAAGGAAAAAGAAGGCAAACTTCCACAGCTAGTTGTCGAGGGAACCAGTACCTCTGCACCTGTGTACAAGTGGCCACAGGAACGTCAAAAATAAATCTCTAACATGTAAAGGACCGATTGTTTAAATCAATACATCACTATGTTACGCCTTTTAAACGGAACTGTTATTTGACATGCTTTCAAATGAGAGAATATTTTTGTGTAATTTAAGGTACAAGTAAAGTTTGTTTTTACATTTGAGCTAGTTTATATCCTTTATTTGAATAGAATTTTCCCCTACTTGACGAAGTTTATTGACCTTTTGTGAGAAGTTTGTTATTATATGTTTGTTTGTTTTTTGTTTTGTTTTAAATAAGGATTCTTTGATTTTCATGTTTATTTATAAAGTAAAACAGGTACATTCACTTAGTTCACATACAACCAAATGTTCCTCTGCTTTTCTGAAACTCAGGAAAGCTTCTCTGTAAAGATTTCACATACAAACCGAGAAAGTGCTTCCCTGCTTCACTAAAAATTCAGCAGAAGCTCTCAAAACATTACAAATTTGAACAAAAACAAACATTTGGAGCCACTCGCATAACAAAAACTTTTTTTTTTTTTCTATTATTTGTTGTTTTTATGTTTTTTTAATGCATCTTTGCTCCCAATGTATCATTTACATGTGAAAAATTTGAATGATATGTTCTTCAACATCAATAATGAGAATATCAATGGATGCAATTAATGATATTCTACATGGGAGGAAAGACTGATAAAAAAAAGAAAAGAAAAAAAGGAAAAATAAAAAGATTATCACTTGATAAAAATAGGAAGGAAAGAGATGAAGCAAAAAATAATAATAAAAATAAAAGAAGAAAAGAAAAAGAGAAAGAAAGAGAGAGAGAGAGGAAGTGGAAAGAAAAGAATATGAATAAAAATGTAATAATAATAAACAAAGAAAAAAAAAATGCAACAAAATGAGATGTGTTCTCCAGCTCGATGACAGTTTTAAAAAAAGAAGAGAAAAAATACAAAAACAAGACATATAAATGTCATTCAATAAGTGTGAATCATTTCATGATTTCTCCCTTTTACAACAATGACATACATATGTGTTTTAGCATGTGTGTGTATGTTTGTGTGTTTACAAGTATTTTTATTTATGTGTTTGCAAGTGTTTGTGAGTGTGTGTATGCTCATGATACACTTCAATTGCATATAAATGTGGCAGGTTCCTGGCATGTGAAAAAACGTACAACTTCATCACAACCTGTCACAACACACAGGTAGTGGCAGTGTTATCTTTTCTATATCATTAGTCATATATATTGCACTTATCAAGTTTTGTTTTTCTGCAACTCCTACACACATCTGAGATGGTAATTTAAATACGTACATATTAACTTTCTTATATATTTATTGTCTGCTTCCCTTGAGGATCTTGCATCTATAAACTTTTTTTTTTTTTTTTTTTAACTTTTCTTCATTTTTGCAATCACTGGCCATATATACTTTTCAAAATAAAAAAAAAACATCGCAAAGATGCTGGAAAAGACAACCAGCAAAATTTTATGATCAATTTATTGCATCGCTGAACATTGCCAACGTCCTTTGGATTTTAAATATTTATGAATGAATCATAAATACTTACATACTTATAATAACATCAATTATAAGGATGAGTCATATCATTTAGTAATACTGATTCATATGAGTATATAGAGTATATGCTTTTCATATAGATGATGATACCAGGAGCTAAAATAGTTCATTTGTTTAGGATCTTCATTAGATCACAACAGATCTACAAAACAATTAGTCTGGAAGGAGTGAAAAATGAGAGAGAGCATTGTAAGAGAGGTGTAGTCCATGCAGTACATATGTGTACATAATATCAAGATGATGAGATGATGTTATGTCTGTCTTTCGCTTTTTGGCTTGTTTTTTTTCCTTAATCTGAGTTGGCAATTTTCGGCTCCAGGACACACCCGGGCAATATGGTTTGTCATGTAAAGTATAGGAACGTGGTTGAAATGGGCTTGTGAATGAAGTCATTAGAGAAAGGGTTGGTAGTTTTATATAACCTATCGTAGAATGCAGTAATTTTCTTTCTTTTTCTTTTTCCATTCTTTATCTTCACCATTCAAGGAGTTGGCTGTGAGCAACTTGTTGGCAGTGGTATTCCAAATGCTCTGTTGCTCGCCATCTAGTCATCTCACACACAAAAAAAAAAAGAGATGAAACCAGATGTTGAAAACGGTATGGGCTCAATCTCATAGCAGGTGGTGAGATTCTCCTCTTGTTGCGTTTCGCTGCGTTGATGGAGCGCTACTTTCCTACTTTCCCTTTCATCATGTCTGATTGGTGACTGGCAGGCTTAATGTAGGTTTTGTCTTAAGGTCTATGATCGTCTCTATGCTGAAATAAAAATAAAAACAGTATTAGATTCAGGTTATAACGATTTTGCAGTGTTGAGGTTGGTTATATTCCTGAACAGTGGATGTTGTTTTAAAAGCTGAATTTAAAGTCTTCACATCCAGCACAAAAGTATCTGATTATCATCTGTGATTTAGTTTTAGTGTTTAATAACAAGACTATTAGATCTTTCCACTTTTTAAAATGAAAGAACAAAATTAAGTGCTAAATACACAACTTATAGTTTAGTTTAGAATACTACTAAATTCTATTTACAGGCTGGTATTTAGATTAGTTAGTGCATTAATCATATAAAATGATTATCATATAACAGCTTTGATTCCATATTACATATAAATGCACACAAAGAACAGCTCTCGTAATTTAGCAAAGCCTTAACTTAACATCTAGAGAATAACCTTTCACCATCATTCCTTTATTCAAGAGCCATGCAATTAAACTATCCCAGTGCACTAATGTTAAGAGAGTTACACAAGAGGGCAGCAACAAATTGGCCAATAAAGAATGCCAATGACTGCAAGGAACCCGAGCACCATTTCTCCTGCTTGCGCTTAGTAGCTAGTGGTGACAACTGGCTGGTTAGTTCTAGATACGTGTACTTTCTATCGAGGCTGAAGAATGTGGTCTACTGTTAAAATACACTTCCGAGGGCTACCTTCGGCTTCCTCCTCTTCCTCTTCTTTGACTTTCGTTGATGTGTCTGCTTCTCCTGCCTCACCTTCCTCTTCTCCCTCTTCCTCTCCCCTTCCTCTCCCTCCTCTTCTTCTCCTTCTTCCTCCTCTTTCTCTTTCTCTTCCTTAACCTCACCAGCACCAGCAGCTTCCAATTCTTCACCTTTCTCTTCCTTCAACTCTTCAGAGATCACTTCTGCATCAACACCCTCCGCCGCTGGTTCCTCGTTCACCTTTCCACTGACGTCTTCTGTTTCTCTCAACCCTTCGTCTGTGATTAGGGTAGGGGGTGCGGATGGTCATGGGACATTAAAGGAGTTTGAACAAAAAGGGTGCAGGGGGATTTAAACGCATGACATGGTGGGTGCACGAAGCCACACTCTTTTTGCATACATGCTTATTTCCTTCTTATTTAGGGGGAAGTAGGGTCAACTCTGCATGCTAATTCAGTTTATGGAAGATAAAGGCTGACTTGGAAAACCTTAAACAATGGTTTGAAGGAGAAAGAAATGGAGGACATCCAATGTTTGACATCGGATTTCTTTTTTACACACAGATATCCTTTAACTCACATAATTGGGGAAAATGATATACCATTTTTTTGGGCTATTATCGATAATTGTTTTAAAAAGAGCACTCTTTACTGCTCTGATATTCATAGACATTTCAGATACAAATTTCCATTAAAGATTTTGAATATGTTGCTTTCCCTTCCAAACTTCCATTTCAGAAAGCTTTTAATTTTATCTCTAACAAAAAAATTTTCTGCAAGAAGCAAATAAATTATAACTATAATTATATATAAATCAAACCATGATTTATTTCTAAGCTACCAAAAACTAAGACAACTGTACTTAAACACATTTATACTTTAGTTGCTTTGTATTTGTTTAAATACATTTGACAGAACTGCACTATGCCTAGAAATAAACGCAGCAAGAACATTAATAAAAAAATATATATATATCTCCATTTCATCACTTTCCTGTAATTACATAAACCCTGATCATACACAAAAGTCAATTTAAATTCGATAACCACTGTTTTCCAAAAATTTCCAGAACCACGCTTATTGTTGAAAGAACATACCCTGCATATATTTTGCATTCAGATTTTTATTATGCAAAAGAAATTTCATTTTCATTAAAAACAACTCCCCAATTACCCATCTGGTAGATTAAAAGGACATTTGTGTGCATAATGAAGTTTTAAACATTTTCTGTAGTTTTTTCTTTTTCTCTTACTTTTTATTCCTTTAATTTTAGCAAAAAACTGAAAAAAATTACCTTCTGTGGTGGATTCAGTCGTGGCGGCAGGTACCTCGTTCACCTCAGCCTAGTAAGAGGGGAAAAAATTAATAATACAATCAATAAATAGAGATATAGCAGAAAGATTTTTTTTTTTTAACACTTAAAATAAAAAAGAAATATACTCTTAAAACTATCACTTTATTTTTCACTTATTTATATTAAGGGACAATTTTCATACTGATGATGTTGCCTGACATTCCTATTCATCAAGAAAATATTCCTCGGCTTCTTATCTCTCAATAGAAAAATAGGCTTAAAATTATCTTTTTCATGAAGACTTTTTTTTTTAATCAAAATAAATGTTCATCATTTTGTCTTAATTTACAGTTTTTATAAAATCCTTTTTTCATATAGTTTTTATTCAATAAATTCTAATAGCAACTTATTCATCTTTACCTGAAAAAAACTAAATCCTAAATTATATTTATTAATCAACAGTACTTTCAAACCATTTCTATAACTTCATGCTCCCAGTAAAATATGATTCAATATGACATTTTCATAAAGATTGACAATTCAATTCATGATCTATAATTTATCACATAGTTAATTCAAGGTTTTCAACAATACTAAAGATTAAAATCATGATTTATATCAAGCACTCAAGATCAAATTCAAGATTCATATTAGTATTCAAGATTAAATTCAAGAAGTATATCCACATTCAAGATTAAATTACAAATTTCTCCCATTCAACCACCACCATATTCAACACATTTAATTAAAAACGAGACCATATTTAGATACTAAAGTCAATGTTTCCAGCTATCTCATAGCAAAGGAGTGAGGCAACAAAAGTGTTCATATCTATGAAGAAAACTGCCACAAAAGATAAGTAATGATTGCAATAGAAATAATGGAAAAAGAATATTTATAAAGCACAATGAACAAGAATTTTCACAGTCTCTTTTAGAAAACAAAGGATGTTTATCAGTTCAACTACATCTCTTAGTTTTAACTATCACAGCAAGTTCACCGCCACCTGTATTCTACTTCACAAGCATCTACTACAAATGCTGCTCTATATACATCATATATCAATGTGCATTAGTAAAGCATAATTGTCTTACCTTAACAGCAGTGTTAGAAGCGTTAGGCTGGTTTCATACAGCTGTACTGCAAGGTTGGTAAAGGAACTACAGATTCTGATTTTCTCTCATTCTCATTCTTTCTCTCTCTCTCACTCTCTCTCTTTTAGGGAGGGAGGGAGGAGCAGGGTGAGGTTAATGCTGGTTAATATACAAAAGCACTAATACCACAGGTGTTGATTTTTGTCCTTTGACAAATGTAGAAAAATGATGTGAATGAGAATGACTAATTTCACAAAGCAAGATGAGTAACTGACATATCATGGCATGGAAATAGCTAAACCCTCCAACATTGTGAAATTATTCTTTCACATTCATATATTCCTAATATACAATTATTCTCTTTGCCGTAACTATGGCTATATATATACAAAGGTATATACACATGAATTTCTTCTGGTATTCTTTTCTGGGGTTCATTCACATCATGATAGCACAATGGCAAAAAAATAAAATAAAATAAAAAACAAATAAATAAAATAAATAAATAAACAAAAACTAAAGGCATCATCTGCAAGCTTGTGAATATATTCTCTGCATTCCTTTCTATTTTGCAAAAAAAATGTGGACAGAGCATCTTTGATATCTGCATACCTCTTTTACTTACCTAATATAAGAAATATATATTCTGCATAAATCATTTCATGAAAAAATAAATCTTATTATATGAATTGTATATTTTGGACTGTAATAATATGTTCTCACATATCCAACTCTCCACATCTTTATCATAGAATAGTATGCAAAGTAACCAATCAAAATAATGGCATGAATATAACATGCCATTCATAAACAAAAACATCAAAATTATTCAAAGAGCAATTCAAGACATTACGACTATTATCTGAGGTATGCACTCCTCCACAGAAAGCAAAGGCTAAAGAGAAACATTGCATAGCTTCTCATGTCGAGCTTTCCTACACCAAGCGTTACCTCCAAGACTAGCTCTGAATCCCCAGGTAATAAATACAATGATGTCGGAGCCTTTCCTTGACCTCCTGGACTGGGCAATCCAAACAGTGATAGCCTGAAGATGCTTTGGGGTTGAGTGAGTCTTACAGTGCGATTGAAAATACTTTACAAACCCACTTTACAAATATTTCTACTTTTTTTTCTTCTTCTAAAATGGGATGACATGCATTATATGATAACAGACATGATTATCATACCCATACATTATTCTAGTTTTTTAATGATTCAAACTTTTTTTTTTTCAAATTAGGTAAAAAGTAGCTGTCTAATTTCCTTAGATCAATTTTCATTGAATCATAATTACTATCAAAGTATCTCTATGAATGCAGATACACCTGTTATGCCTTTTAATCAACTCTTAGTGCGTTTTCAATGGATATGGATATGAAGTCAATCAAGATGATAAAGTTGCCTTTTTTTATTACTGAATTGTCTGGTGAAAATGAATAAATACAATAATGATTTTTACAAGGACAAGGGACTTACAGATAAGAACAGGATATCCATCGGAATATATAATTATCAAAGGAGCAGATTTTCATTCGTGTTAGCAAGCTATAATACATCAATCATAATGAACAAGAGTGAGGTTCTATACCTTTTAATTAGGCCTATACCTAAAAAAAAGATAAGGGGAAAAAACTGGTAGTATGAAGGCTACACAGGGATTAGTTCTAGCTAGTTTACTTAGGTCTTATAAATTGGAAACTGGACTTAAACCTATGTTGAATGGTGAGCTGTTGTATCCAAACTTCACTGTAAATTCATTTCCATTTCTGATGATCATTTCCACCGAGTGACCAAACTTATCCAAAAATTCATTAGACTTGAAAAAAATTCACTAAAATTTTCTTAAATTTTACTGTGAAGCAAAATGTTGAGAATAAAAATCAGATTTGCTTAAAGGAAAACATGGTGGACCAATGCTGTGTCTAAAATGTAGAATTCATGTAATTTCTACCATAAATCATAAAACAAGAGTTTACCAATCATATACATAATACATACATAGGTTATATATATATATATATATATATATATATATATATATATATATATATATATATATATATATATATATATATATATATATCATATATATACATTTCGTATATCCTTACAAAACATAATAATCCTTCAGATCATCACCAATTCAATTAGAGGGAACTTGATATGAAAATTTGATTCTATTATATATTCCATATACTGTATCTTATATAAAAGGAATACTTCTTTTCATTAACACTGGTTTTCCAATCAATGCATTACAGCTTGAATGAAGTCTGAATTATTCAAAATGCCTTAAAATTACATAGATTGTTTTTTTTATCTAAAATACATCCAAAACAGACCAATCTCTTTATGTTTTTGGAAACAGAATTTTTTTTGAAAAACCTGTGATACACTTAACATCCATTAATAGACCACAGACTTTAAAGCACTTGGCTCTTCACACACGAGAAAAATGTCAAGGAGACGACCAAACACATCAAACCCATACAACGAGGTTCTACTATCAACTACTATCTCTCGGATGCATATGGACTAACATGCCTGTTCCATTTGATGATTTGACATAGTTCTTCATTTTGTGACCTTCACAGCTACAGTATTAATACAATGTGGGTTTAAAGTATTTTGGAGAGGCGAAAGAATGAATTACAGGTTGGGATAACTTTGATAAACCTAACACCTTTCCTATTTGTGATTACATAAGTTGATAAAATGAGGAAAATCTTTCTCTTCCTGATGACCATTTAAACAATGGAGAGGTGAAGCAATAAATTACTCTTCTGAGCAAAAGAGGAATATAAAGTAATATTTTTTTTGACAATAAAAAATGACTTAATGAGACTATCTATATACTGATTGATTGAGCAACACATCCTTGCTTTCCAAAAAAAAAGAAGAAAAAAAAAAAGTACATATCCCATAAGATAAATAAAAATTCTGCTAAAGCATACAATAATGATAACAATAATACAAACAAATAATTCATTACATAAATACAAAGAGGTGTAAATCCATGACCCAACTGGAGAAAAATCTAAACCGATCCAAAACATCAATAAGGAAAAAAAAAGAAAAAAGAAAGAAAAAAATCTTCCGCACTCCTTCCGACCTGCTATATCTCATCAACTTCACCATTATGTACAGACACAGAGGATTCCACTAAAACAGGAATCCTTTACAAATCGTTCCTGGTGTCCTTCCCTACAGTGTATCCTCCACGGAAAACGAGTTTCAAATATGTCCAGGAGCAGCAGTATCAAATGACCACTAATTAGTATAAAAAAAAAAAAACATGCACTGGTATAAGTTTTCTCTGCATCACCCCAAAAAATAAATATATGAATAAAATAGACAAAACAAAAACAGTATATATACATCTGCTGTTAGTACTGCCTGAGCTCAATTTTTTTCTAATACAAATATCACAAAAAAAAAATACACAAGATGGTAAAAGAACAGGTGTTAGTAAGGCCTGAGCTTCATTTTCTGTGGGGTACAAAATATTACAAAACTAAAAACGCATACCAGAAAAAACAGTATACATTTCCTGTTAGTTGGGTCACGACCTCTCTCTCTCTCTCTCATTGTCTTTCCCTTTCATCCCTTAGTGCACCCCTACCTCTCGACTGGCTGACACGCCATTGGTCATCTTCTCCCCCTCCTGTTGTTGTTGTTTGGCTCTCTCTTCGGGTAAGAGACTCGTGATCCCGATCTTGATGCTCTTCTTCTCTTCGTCTGTGAGTTTGAGGAACTCGCCCAGTGTGTCCGTCTCGTTGGCCATGTCAAGGTCTTCGAAATCCTGTCCAGAAAGGAAAGAGAGAAAGGGAGAGAAAGGGGATTAATACTGGAGATAAAGGAAGGAGGGAAAGGAAAAGAGAGGAGAAAGATGAAGGGAGAAGGGAGAGAAAAAGAGAAAAGGAGAGAAAGGGGGTGTACAGAGACTTGCCAAAAAGGTGGGCATTAAATAAGCAGGTGGAGGTAAGTAACAGATAGAGGATTGGAAAGAAAGTACAGGAGGAGAGAAGAGAGGAGGAGCAGGGGAAGAGGGAAGAGGGAGGAAGGAAGGATGGAAGAGAGGAGAGAAAGGAAGGGAGTGACAGAAAGAGGGAGGTAGAGGGACAAAAGGATAGATAGGAGGAGAGGGAGGGAGTGGGAGGGTGGGAAAGAGAGAGAGGGAGAGTGAGAGAGACAGAGCAAGGGAGTGACAGAGAGAGAGAGAGAGAGAGAGAGAGAGAGAGAGAGAGAGAGAGAGAGAGAGAGAGAGAGAGAGAGAGAGAGAGAGAGAGAAGAGAGGGAGAAGAGGGAGGAGAGGGAGAGAAGGAGAGAGGGAAGAGGAGAGGAGGGAGAGAGGGAGAGAGGGAGGAGAGGGAGGGAGGGAGGGAGGAGGGAGGGAGGGAAAGGAGAAGAGGAGAGGGAGAGGGAAGAGAGGAAAAAGGAAGGAGAGAAGGGGAGAGAGGAGAGAAGGAGAGAGGGAGAGAAGAGAGAAGGAAGGAGGAGAGGGAGGGAGGGAGGGAGAGAGAGGAGAGGGAGAGAGAGGGAGGAGAGAGAGGAGAGAGAGAGAGAGAGAGAGAGAGAGAGAGAGAGAGAGAGAGAGATAAGGGAAGAGAAGAGAGAGAGAGAGATGGGAACTGAGAAGGAGAGGGAGGAGGAGAGCAATGGTTGAAGGGAGGGAGGGAGAAGGATGGATGAAGGGAAGGAGGGAAGAAGGATGAGATGGAGGGAAGGGAGTGAAGGAGGATGGAGGAGGAGGGAGAGAAATGATGAGAGAGGGAGGGAGAGAGAGAGAGAAAGATGAGGGAGGGAGGGAGAGAGAGAGAAAATGATGGAGGGAGGGAAAGAGAGAGAGATGATAGGAGAGAGGGAGAGAGGGAGAGGGATGGGAGAGGGAGGGAGGGAGAAAGAGAGAGGAAGGGAGGGAAGAAGTGAGGGAGGGAGGGAGGGAGGGGGGAGAGAGGAGGAGGGAGGGGAGGGAGGGAGGGAGGGAGGTGAGGAGGGAGGGAGGAGAGGTGAGGGAGGGGGAGGGAGGGAGGGGAAGAGAGAGGAGAGAGAGAGAGAGAGAGCGAGAGAGAGAGAGAGAGAGAGAGAGAGAGGAGAGAGAGAGAGAGAGAGAGAGAGAGAGAGAGAGAGAGAGAGAGAGAGAGATGAGAGAGAGAAAGAGAGAGAGAGAAAGAAGAGAGAGAGAGAGAGAGAGAGAGAGAGAGAGAGAGAGAGAGAGAGAGAGAGAGAAGAGAGAGAGAGAGAGAGAGAGAGAGAGAGAGAGAGAGAGAGAGAGAGAGAGAGGGGGGGGGGCACGAAAGAACATGGCAGGACAGAGATGAACAGGCAAAAAGACATAGAAGACAAAGTAGACAGACAGAAAAAGACAAACAGAGAAAGACAGATGATGAGAGAGACACAGAGAGACAGAGATAGACAGATGAGAGAGATAAAGAAAGGGAGACAGAGACGGAAAGAGAAAGATAGACAGAGAAACAAACAAGTAGAGAGAAAGTGGCGAAGAAACATCCCAAGTTAAATACAATTTTATGCAACCAGTCACGATCCATAATGCACCATATGGTTGCTCACGCACGTTCTAAAATGTTTCAATGCTTGTACCTCCCATATTTAATACTTACACGATAGCTTCACCTTTTTAACTCTATTTACCTCTGCCAAATATAGGATGTATTTGCGAGCACACAAAAAAGCTTTCGAATTTTTTTAGTATTTTTTTTTTCCTTTCACTTTTGGGTCACGTGATTTAACGACTCTCACAAAACTGCTTTCAAATTCATGATCTGTAAGTAGACCTATATATCCGAGATATTTACTGTTCTGATCTCATTGGTCCTTTAGTTAATAATTTAGTTTCTCTTTATCTTTATTATAATTTTTTTCTGCCTTTCAGTTCCTGGGATAAGGGGCCTCATGTAAAATTCCTTTCCTTTTCTTCGTCTCATTTTAATTCCTCTCAAAAAAAAAAAATAATAATAATAAAAAATAAATAAATAAATAAATAATTATTTATTGCATCACTTGCCGGCAGTAACTCCCCCCCCCCCCCCCCCCCATTTCTAGAGGAGTTCCTCAGAGATGTGTCCTCTTTCTCTCCCTTCTTCCTCCTCCTCTTTATCAATGGTCTCTTCTATTCCTAATTACTCCATCAAGAAAAACAGCAAAGTTGACGAAATCCACAGATACAAGGTCAGAAATGGTTCCCTTTTCGCGGCTTTATTCCAGCACAGGGTCTAAAATGGATCCAAATAACTTGTATCTAACTTCTTTTTGTCTTCCTTCGTACCCTTTTGTATGCATCCAAACGTCACTGACACCTTTGTTTCGTAACCACAAATAAATCTTCTTTTTTTCTTTTATTTTGTCACTGTTTGGATGCAATCACCGCGGTCCTTTTAGTAGATTTATCACCTTTTTCTTTCTTCCTTTCTTCATTCGCTGAAATCTCACGGTATATAAAAACTCACTTTCACTTGTCTTTCACTTTCCCGAAAATCTCAAACTTTTAAAGCTTGTTCTTTGAGTAAACTGTATTTTTATTTTTTTATTTTCTTTAATTTCCTGTCCACCGCACTCGCCTATTCTTATCGTCACTTTACGTATTTATACACTTGCTCTCTCCGTTTATTCGTTTCACTCGATTATTCTTTCCTCTTAGTTTACATTCCTTATACATTCCTAGTTCAAAAAAAAGAAAAAAAAATCAACATCAGAAACAGTCACTGACATAAAAAATTAAAATACCTTTAACTATTTTCTGAATCATTTCCTGTCTTTTTCCCAACTTTCCAAGTCTTTCCTAACTTTTCGAACAGTGGACTTATTTTTACTTATTTATATACTTATCTATTTTTATCTTTCCCACAAAATAATTGAAATAATTAAAAGCGCTCAATATTTTTTTTCTGAATTTCACTATGGTTATTTATTTTCTCTCTTTCTCTTTCAACACACACTATTTACATTCACCTGACCATTACAATATATATATATATATTTCTTTCTTTTTTGCCTCACAACACTAAACATTACGAAGTGATTTTGTTTCTTCGTTTTCTACACTTCGCAAAAACCATCTCTACTTCGCTAAACATTTCGTAAAAAAAAAAAGAAAACTTCACTCTTCTTCTTTCAACTTCAAACCAATATAGTTTTTTTGCCTCACAACACTAAACAGTACGAAGAGTTTTTGTTTATTTTCTACACTTCGCAAAATTCATTTCGACTTTGCTAAACGTTGCGTAAAAAAAAAAAATAAATAAATAATAAAAATAAAAAATAAAATAAAAAACTTCACTCTTCTTCTTTCAACTTCAAACCAATATAGTTTTTTTGCCTCACAACACTAAACAGTACGAAGAGTTTTTGTTTCCTTGTTTTCTACACTTCACTTTCTACACTTCGCAAAAGCCATTTCGACTTGCTAAACGTTTCGTAAAAAAAAAAAAAAACTTCACTCTTTTTCTTTCAACTCAAACCAATATAATTACGAGGTTCTAAATTTGGCAGAAATAAGTGGAGCTAAAATGAAAGCGGTCCTTGCCAACCAAGACGGCTTATAGGTCAAAATAACTATCAAAAATGGGGTATTAAAACGGAAAATTTCAATATCTATGCCTGGGTTATTTATAGACCAATTAAACAGACAAAGATACAAATAATATCACGTACAAATAAAGATACATACACACGAAAACAGACATGCAAATAATCATAAACAGAAATTTACTTGCCAACCCGTAACACACAGACACAGACAGAAAGACAGACACATCAAAAATACCCCCTCCCCTCACCCCTCAAAAAAAGACCCCCTCACCCCCCTTAAAAGGAACCCCCCTTACCCCCCCCAAAAAAAAAAAAAAAAAAAAAACACCCCACCCCTTCCCTCCCCTCAATAAAGACCCCCCCTCCCCCTTAAAAAGACCCCTCACCCTCACCCCCCAAAAAAAAAACACCCCACCCCTTCCCTTCCCTCAAAAAACCCCCTCACCCCTTTAAAAGGGAACCCCCCTAACCCCCCAAAAAAAAAACACCCCTCCCTCACCCTCACCCTTCCTCCCACACCCTCCTTTACCCCTCCCCCCACTCCCCCCCATCCCCCCACAACTCACCCCGCAGTACTCGGCATCGTTGAAATCTGCGGCGTCATGGGCACTTTGTTGTTCCCCTTGGGCCTGGCGTTCTCGTCATGTAATCCTTGGAGTCCTCGCAGCCCGGGTCGGTGATGTCGATGGTCACGAACGGAATGTTCTTGCTCTCCAGGATCATGAGGGCGCGCTGCTGGTTCTTCTTGACCTGGGGGGGGGGGGGGAGAGAGAGAAATGAATTAATAAAATAAGAGAGAGAGTGACCTGGGAGAGAGAGAGAGAGAAAGAATGAATGAATAAAATGAGAGAGAAAGTGACCTGGGAGAGAGAAATTAATGATTAAAATGATAGATGATGGGAGAGAGAAATGAATGAATAAAATGAGAAAGAGGGGAGAGGGAGGAGAGAAGAATAGGGAGGGAGAGGGAGGGGAGGGAGGAGAGAGGGAGGGAGAAGGAGGAAGAGGAGAGTGAGAGCGAGAGGAGGAGGGAGGGAGAGAGAGGCGAAGAGAGGAGAGAGAGAGAGGAGAGAGAGAGAGAGAGAGAGAGAGAGAGAGAGAGAGAGAGAGAGAGAGAGAGAGAGAGAGAGAGAGAGAGAGAGGAGGAGAGAGAGGAGAGGATGAGGGAGAGAGAGAGAGAGAGAGAGAGAGAGAGAGAGAGAGAGCATCAAGAAGAGATGTGAGAGAGAGAGAGACTAAAGAGAGACAGAGAGAGCTGAGAAAGAGACAGTAAGAGGATGAAGGAGAGGAGCGGAGAAAGAGAGAGAGCAGAGAACAGAAAAGAAACGTAGAGAAAGAGAGAAAGAGGGAGAAGGAGAGAGAGCGAGACAGCAGAGAGAGAGAGCACAATAAGAGTTCACATTCCTTGAACCCTGGCGCCCATGAAGTGGCTGTCTCTGCGTCCAAGTGGCTTTGTTTCTTCATCTCCATTTATCTAATTATGTGTCCCATTTACGTCAGGCTCTTATTTCTACCTTCCTCGACAATCATCATAAAACACGCGCACTTCTTCCTTCCTCTCCCTTCCCCCTCTCTCTTTGCCCTTCCCCTTTCTTCCGCCTCTCTCCTCTCCTCTCTTCTGTTCTCTACTCTTTTCCTTCTCCACTCCTCGCCTCTCCTCTTTTCCTCACCCTTTCCCTCTCCTCTTGTCCTCCACATTCTCCTCTCATCTCCTTTCCTCTATTCCTTAACCTTCTCCTCTTCTCTTTTCTTCCACCTTCTCCTCATCTAAATTCCTCCCCACCTTCTCTATTATCTCCTCCCCTCCCTTCCTCTGGGTGGACGGAAGGAGGGTGAAGAGGGGGGAAAAGGAGGGGAGGAGGATGGGAAGAGAGGGAGAGGAAGGATGGAAGAAATGGAGAGGAAGAGCGGGAAATAGGAAGGGAGGGAAGGAGGAAGGAAGGAAGGAAGGAAGGCCATCCTCATCACTCATAGATTAACAAATTACAGGATGAGTGTGAACACGAAGTGGGGTTTAAGAGATGCAGCATCCACATTATCGGGAAGATTCTGGACCCTCTCTCTCTCTCTCTCTCTCTCTCGTCTCTCTCTCTCTGTCTCTCTCTCTGTCTCTCTCTCTCTCTCTCTCTTCTCTCTGTCTCTCTCTCTCTCTGTCTCTCTCCTCTTCTCTCTCTCTCTCCTGTCTCTCTCTCTCTCTGTCTCTCTCTCGTCTGTTCTGTCTGTCTGTCTGTCTGTCTGTCTCTCTCTCTCCTCTTTCCGCTGTCTGCTCTCCTATTCTCACTCTGTTTCTACTCACAAAACTCTGACACGCTTCTCTTTCTCTTATCTCTCTCCCCCCCCCCCTCTCTCTCTCTCTCTCTCTCTCTCTCTCTCTCTCCCTCTCTGCTCTCTCTCTCTCTCTCATCTCTCTCTCTCTCTGGCTGCGGTCTCCTCTCTCCTCTCTCGCTCTCATGCCGGTTCCCTTTGCTCTGTTGCCCACTGTCAATGGCCGCTCTCTCTTCCTCTGTCTCTTGATTTTCTTGTCTGTCTGTCATTGTCTGGTAGAGGTCCTGGTCGGATGGCTGCGCTGTTTCGCACGGAGGAATACGCATGTTCCCTTTGAGTGTTTTTTTCTGATGACCTCGGTAGCTCCAATTAATCTAGGCCCATTACAGACGACTGCAGAGAAAAAGGACGCCGATACAGTTAGAGAGAGAAAGGAGATGCCATAAAAGTAAAACGTAGACCAAAAGAAAAAGGAAACGAAAAGAAATAAAGAAGAAAAAAGAGAGAGAGAAAGAGAGAGAGGGAGGAGGGGAGATGGAGGGAGAGAGAGGGAGAGGAGAGAGACAAGAAAAAGAAGAATAAAATCCCCTTTGACTTGCTTGCCTAAAGGAAATTTCAGGAATCCCACTTTGAACCTCGCATTATAGAAGCGAGAGAGAAGAGGGATGGGAGGGAGGGAGAAGAGAGAAATGGAAAGAGGGGGAGAAGGCGAGGGAGGAGGGAGTGAAGGGGAGGGGAAAGATGAGAGGAAAGGATGGAAAGAAAGGGAGAGTGAGAAGGAGGGGAATGGCGGGAGAAAGGAAGGGGGAGGGAGAGAGGGGGGTGAAGGCCGAGGGAGGGAGGAAGGAAGAGAGGAGACGAGGATGGAAGAAAGGAGAGTGAGAAGGAGGGAATGGCGGGAGAAAGGAAGGGAGGAAGGAGGGAGGGAGGAGCGGAGGTAGGAGAGAGGGAGGAGGTAGGGAGAGAGGGAGGGAGGAAGGCAGAGAGGGAAGGGAGGAAAGAGGGAGGGAGGGAGGAAAGAGAGAGAGAGAGAGAAGAGGAGAGAGAGAGAGAGGACCGATGAGAGAGAGAGAGAGAGGAAGAGCAGAGAGAGAGAGAGAGATGAGAGGCGGAGACGAGAGAGGGAGGAGAGAGAGGAGAGAGAGAGAGAGGAGAGAGAAGGGAGTAAAGAAGAAAGTTGGAGGAAGAGCGGAGAGAAGTACGAAGGTGGTGAACAGAGAGAGAGAGAGAGAGAAGCTGAAGGTGAGGAAAGTGAAAAGGAAAATGGTACAAGAAAAGACGTTAAAAAAGAGGCAAATACGGAGAGAGAGAGAGAGATAGGAGAGAGGAGACGAGATGAGAGAGAGAGAGAGAGAGAGATGAGAGAGCAGAGAGAGAGATGAGAGAGATTTGAGAGAGAGAGAGAGTATATTATAAAAGATAAAAAGATAACAGATAAAAGCACAGGACGGAAGGACCGACATAAACAGAAAAAAGACAATGAAAGAGAAGACGCAGACAGATTACGAAGAAAATAAATAAACGAAACACAGACCACGAGGACAGAAAAAAAACGAAAGAAAGAAGTGAAGGGAAATACCAACCGACAGCCAGACACACTCACACACAAAACCAACGGGAGGCGAAGGGAAACAGCCACATAAACAAACAGACGCGGCAAGGCAGACAAGAGGGGAGGGTGGGGGAAAAACACCTTAAATAAAGGGAAGTAACGCGAAAAATGTCGGGAATTTCCTAGATTTAATTCCCAAACTCCTTTCTCGTATCGGCCGGATTTTTTCTGTCAACAAATATACCAATCAGCTGACTCAGCTGACTCCATCCTGCTGACTCCAACAGCTGACTCCAATCAGCTGACTCCAATCAGCTGACTCCAATCAGCTGACTGCCAATCAGCTGACTCCAATCAGCTGACTCAATCAGCTGACTCCTCAGCTGACTCCAATCAGCTGACTCCATCAGCTGACAAGCTGACTCCAATCAGCTGTCCCTGACTCCAATCAGCTGACGCCCTCTGACAGATTAGGTAGGCTGATTGATGGTATTTCAGAGATGTGTGAATTGATGCAAAAGGTAGACAAGAGAGAAGTTTTGGGAGGGAGAAGAGGAGAAGAGCAGTGGGAAGGGGAAGGGGGTGGGGAGGGGATGGAAAGAGGGAGGGGGATGGAAAGAGAGAAAGGAGGGAGGGAGGGAGGGAGGGAGAGAGAGAGACAGGAGAGAGAGCAGAGAGAGAGCGAGAGAGAGAGGCGAGAGAGAGAGAGAGAGAGAGAGAGAGAGAGAGAGAGAGAGAGAGTGAGAGAGAGAGGAGAGAGAGAGAGAGAGAGAGAGAGAGAGAGAGAGAGAGAGAGAGAGAGAGAGAGAGAGAAGAGAGAGAAACTGCCAGACAGAGACCGAAACAAAAAGACAAACAACCCAACAAACACACACAGAGAGACCGAACCAACATAACAAACAAAACAAACAAACAAGAGAATACCGACCTTCCCGCCCCGCACTACAACCAAAACAAATGAAGTCCGCGATGACGTCACAGCCCAGACAGGGTGATCCGCCAGCAAGTCTAGCTATTCCTGGTATCAAAGCAAGCAATGTATGTAAATAGCTTCTCTCGTGTCCTTTCCCCTTCCACTCCCCCCACTCCCCACTCTTCCCCCCTCTCCTCCCTCTCCCCCCTCTTCATTCTTCCCTCTCTCTCCTCCCTCTCCCCACTCTTCACTCTTCCCCCCCACTCCTGCCTCCTCACTCTACACTCTTCCCCCTCTCCTCCCTACTCTTTCCCTCTCTCCTCCCTTCTCCCCCCCCCCCACTCTTCGCTCCTTCCGCCCCTCTCCCAACGCATTTTCCCTTCTTGCTACCTGTTTCTCTCTCTCTCTCTCTCTCTCTCTCTCTCTCTTCTCTCTTCTCTCTCTCTCTCCTCTCTCTCCCTCTCTCTCCCTCTCTCTCCCTCTCTCTCCCTCTCTCTCCCTCTCTCTCCCTCTCTCTCTCCCTCTCTCTCCCTCTCTCTCCCTCTCCTTCCCTCTCTCTTCCCTCTCTCTCTCTCCCTCTCTCTCCCTCTCTCGGCATACCTGGTTCCTCTCCCAGTCTCCTGTCTCTCTATCTTTTCTCTCATGTTTTCGGTTATTACTTTCAGACTTTAAAATAGGTAAATGCAGCGTACGCATACATAAATACATATATACATATACACATACAAACACTCCCTCTCCCTCTTTCTTTCTCTCTCCTCTCTCTCTGTTTTCTCTCTCTCCCTCTCCTTCCCTTCTCCCTCTCCTCCTCCTTCTTCTCTTTCTCTTTCTCCCTCTCTCTTACACACACACACACAAAGTCATCTAACCCTAGCCACACCCACACCCACACACACCCACACCCACACCCACACCCACACCCACACACACACACTCACACACACACACACACACACAACACACACACACACCACACACACACACACACTCACACAACACACATACACACACACCACACACACTCACACACACAAACACACACACACACCACACACACACACACACACACACACACACACACACACACACACACAACACCACACATACAAACACACACACACACACACACACACACACACCACACAACACACAACACACACACACACACACACAACACACACACACCACACACACACACACACACACACACACACACACACACACACACACACAACACACACACACACACACACACACACACACACACACACACACACCACGTATATATATATCCCTTTCTCCCAAACCACTTCTTACCAAATACCCAAACCCACCCATAGAAAAGATTCCCCAATCTACCCCAGTGCTCTTAATTACCTTCCAAAACACCTACCCCCAACCTTCAACCTACCCCTATCTACCAATCAGTCAATCTATCTACCCCAGTCCCTCAATATACCTACCCCAAACCCTGAAATACCTACTCCGACCTTCAGCATACCCCAATTTACCAATCAATCCATCTATCTACCCAAATCACTCATAAATACCTACCCCAATCATTTACATTACCCACCGTCTACCCCAACCCTCCAAAAATACCCTCCCCCCCCTTTTAAATACCTCTCCCTTTTCCCCCGGCTGCCCAGCTGACGCGATCAGCTGATTTGACCCCATGGAAAAATTGCCGCAGATATTGGATGAAGGGTGAGGACGGAAAGGGAGAGGGCCAGG